CTCTTCTCTTCTCTTCTCTTCCTTTTTCCTTTGTTTTCCTTTCCTATTCACCCCCTGGTTGCCCCCTGGCTCTAGCTGAATTTCTCCTGGGAGCTGCTTGGCCTTTGGCGCAGGGGAGGACACCACGTCGGAGCTCTGGCTGTGCTCTCAGCTGTGCTGCGAGCGGCCTTCTTGGCAGCTCTCCAGGCTGCTGTGGTGTTGCCTGAGTGGCCCATCCTGCTGGGAAGGATCCTGTTGGTCCTGCTCCCAGCAGCCTGACGCTCCTCAAGTACCAGTGTTTTCCTTCCCTGGTTTATCACCATTCACCTGAACAATGCAGTTAGCGCAGTATCATCTCTAACGCATCTTCTTTCTCATTTATAATGCACATGGTGCTGGTGGATTTGGGGTGTATGGAACACACATTGCAATGCTTTGGGATAATTAAAAAATAATAATTTCAGGATCATTTTTCATTGTTATACTCTTAGATTTGATTGCCTAAGTGTATAAGGCATTGTCTCTTTACCTAGTTAAACATAGAGTGCCTGACTAGACAAGATGAAAGTTAGGGAATCTCCTGCTGTCTCAAGATTTCCATTTAGTTAATGTACTACAGGTATAAATTCATCAGTTACTTGTGTTGCTCATGTATGTGGCATTGCATCTGACCATTACCTCTTGTATGCAATAAAGCAGGTGTTTGAGTTTCAGTATTGTATTTAGGAGATTTATATCCATTCTTCTGTCAGTGCTTTTATTTTAGTATATGAACTGCAGTGATACGAAACAAGCCAGCTGCACAAACTGTGGTATACATTTTGTGGCGTACGTTGTGGGTGCCTTGAGTAAAGAGGCTGCAAGAAAAAAATTGTCTTTCACAATGAGATTACTATCTATGCAGAGTGAAGGCCGAGGTTCCAGAGAGCAGTGGTATAGGGAAAGTTTGTAAAAAGGTTCCAGTTTCTCCACTGGCTGGAAACAACATTCACCTGTTAATTTCTATCTCCCTGATGGTCAGTTTATTCCATAGCGCTTCATAGCGATTAAATAGCGTTTTAACCAAGAAATCTCACCTGATCCATTTTGCTGCCATCATCCGTATGACCACACTGAGTCCCAGCCCAGGCTGATGGAAGCGTGCCCAACATAGAATGGGAACTAGGGTTCCTGATTATTAAAGTGACTCTCCTAGAGAGCTGGTTAAGTAGAGGGCTATTCATTACTTAGTGTATTATGGGTCAAGAAGCTCAGAAAACAGGTTTTAATCTTTAAGGCTTTGCAGCTATATGTATAGTTTTAGTGCAGTGTAACTGGAAATAATGGGAGGAAACACAAGAAAGGCTGAATGTTGAGGAAGGCTTCCCAACTGTGCAATAAAAATTGAGATGGAGATAATCTGGAAGGACACCTCCCAATCATAGAGCCATTCCTTGGCATACAGACAAGGTCTTTGTTCTGCCTCTTACTGCTGTGAGGAATTACTTCAGAACTGATTGGTCTTTACAAAAATAGTTATCACTGAAAGATGAAAACTGTGTGAATTTGGAGGGAAGGTTAGGCTATGATTTATGGTATAAGCTTTTACTGCATACTGCTGTTCCTCCTTCTTAAGTTTCTGTCCTTGGAGTTGTTCTTATCTCGCTTTGTGTCTGTTGTTTATTGTAAGGTGTGAGTTGCTAGCACAGCTGTGAACGAGAGGCTACACAGTTACTCAGGGTGGCTAATGCTGAAGTTCATAGTTACCTTTGAGTTGCTGCTACATTGTGAATCAGCAACAGATTCTACTGCAGGACTTCCTTCTTATAGACGGTAGTTCTAATTTAGTTTGGAATTGTGCTGTGTAATTTGTGATCAGTGCAAACACCACCACAGCTTGGGTGCTTTTCAATCCTTTTTCTTTTCTGTTTTTTTGTTTGTTTGTTTTGTTTTGTTTTTCAAAACATCTGTGACTTACTGCCTGCAAATAGAGGGGAGGATTTGATGCTGGTGGGGAACCTAAGTTGAATAAATGGTAATTCATTACTTGTATTAGGCAACAAGAGGCCACATCTGGGCCTTGAGCAGAGAGGAGACAGTATTTAGTTGGACATGGTACGTATCTAGAGAAGAGTTTAATCCATTTAAATCAGAAAATGGTATCTTTCTTTATCTGTTATTACAGATAATATTACAGATCAGAAATACTTTCTTGCTGCTACCCTATAACTTATTTCATTATGATCACCTGTTTGCCCCATAAAATTGAAATAAACAGAGCATACCTTCCTAAAAGGCATCACCATTGATTTGAGTAGCCAGGCAGAGCCAGGATTTGAAACTAGTATTTCAAACAGCAAAGGAATTGGTCTAAAAGGAACACGTCTGCCAGGTGGCAGCCTGCGAGCTGCTCTGTAGACAAAGAATGAGCAACGCAACCCACTGCTGCAGTAAGAGCTGTTCACAAGTGTGACTCCCCTCCTGTTTAGTGAGGTTCACAAACCATTTGGACATCTCCTGCATTCCAGTTCCACTGGCTGTTCTGCAAATCACTTAAGAGGTTTAAAACTTCCTTGTAATTCTACTCTGCACATGAACTTTGAGTGAAGAGAAAGGAAAGACCAGTGGAATGAGACTCTGGGCCTCAGGGACCTCTTCAAATTGCTATTGCAAGCATTTGGCAGAGACTAGGATAACATCCTATGTATCCATCTTTGTCCCTAGCTTGGTGCCCTTGGGCTTTGTTCTGGGCTTTTGCATTTCTAGTGCAGTGTAAAACATGAACTTGGCCATGTACACGCCAATGTAACTTACCCGCTTTAAAAACAAAAGCTAAAGTTTATTTACAGTGTTTTGACAATAGGGAGGCTGCAAACAGGAAACATGGCAATGTTGCTAATGTTCTGGACAGGAGAACACAGGATTTTGAAGAGTGTAATTAGATAAAACGTATGGTTGTGACACCCCTAAAACGCAACAAAGTTAACAAATTTTTAAAATTAATGTGATGATGCTGCATGAGGAATCTTGAAAATTTATACCTAATAAGGATAGACTGATTTTGTTATTTTATTCTTCACAAAGGGTTAATTTTTAGCGCATCCTGTAAGCTGATATGTGGGATAAATAGTTTGGACACTGATTTGTAATCTCTGTTTATGAGTACATGACTGCTATTCTTATAAATGTCATCACTTTCTTGGTAGTATCTGGCAATATCTGAGTCATGAGGTGCTGACAAAAATCCACTGCACTTAAAGTGAAACTTGAGGCATTTTGCTCATTCCAAAAGATATTAGCAATAGCCAGCCCCACATTTAACTGATAAATAACGTGTACATGTGCACACGACACAGCTATGCTGCTATGTGGATTTTTTCCTCTTACCTAAAATCATGGTGGAAATACATCAGAGTTCAAATCATGACAACTGTTTTTTCTTTTGAGCAGACTGGGTTAATGGACACTAGCAGATGTCTGTACGGAGTCAGTGCCTTGCGCCAGCGGGAGCAGATCCATTCGGAGGCAGAACAGGCTTCCTTTGCTGAATTTCATTTGAACTTGGATATCCTGGCTATAAAAGCAAACTCTGTATATGTTATCACTGACTTAAGAAATGAAATCTCTCACGTGGAGTTGAGTACTGAAAAATATTTCATTTTCCCATTATTCCCCTCTTTATTTACAGCCATACAGCAGGATATGAGAATGAGAACCACAGCACTCCCATGTTATACAGCTGTGGGGCCCAATACAGAATACACACCCATGGAGTTTTTAGAGGCATACAAGTGAGTATAGCAGGGCATTCTTCATAGGGAAGTGAGACTGCTGCCTGTTTATAGTGCTCATTTACTGCTCTACTGGTATTTCTAAATCTATCCTTGATTTGTGGTTTCCCTGGGTTATCAAGAAATGCTCTACACAAGTGTCCTGACTTCACTGAAGCCATTGATGTAAGATTTCTCTGACATAGTAATTTAAAAATGTTTACTTCTTCTTTTGAAGTATATCTGTGGGACAGTATTCCTTAACAGCTTCTCAGGATGGTCCAAAATATACCATCCAGTTTCCAACTTATAGATGCAATCCCTTTGGCTGTGGGAAGCTTCTGTGGTTTCAATGGTCTGCATCTGATAGCTACATAGAAGAAAGTGTTAGATGACATTTCGTTTTTATGGATTTCTGAAACTTCACTAATTCAAACATGTTTCCTTAAAACAAAATATGACTAATTGCTGAGTATTGAGGAGGAACTTACTACTCATGGGAGTTAATTTCCTCCCTTTCTGAAACAGTCATATCATCAATAAATATGACTGTGAAAGCTACACCTTCTTAATACTTATGGCAAAGTCATTCCATAGTATCTGTCTCCTCTGTGTTGCTCTGTGTTGTCAATACAATCAAAGTTTTTAGATGGCATATCTTCTCTTCTTCCTTTTCTGTATAGTTGAAGTCATTATTCAGTGGCAAGCTCTCAGAAGTAGGCTTGTGAGCCAGCTTTTGTTGGGTCAATAAAAATCAGAGGTTGACATTGTTTAAGGAAATTAATTATCCCAAAAGGAGAAGATCACCTCTGATGGAACGTTGTGACAGTAACCAAAATGCATTAAGGCTGAACTATTCATCAGCTCCACCTAGAAAGTCTTTCTTGTATGTTGGTGTTTGTTTTTTTTTTTTTTTTTTTCCCCCAATTTGTGTTAACCCAATACATTAATTTCCTGGTCCTTTAACTTCATGTGAGTATTTTAAATAAAGAGGATAATGCTACTCTGGCTCGTGTTCTTATCTCTTAGGCTGGTATAAGCCTAAAACTATTTCATATGCCAATGAGTGTTCTTCCAGAACTGTGTGATTATATGTGAGGTCAGAATGTGGCTCATTTAATCTCACATATGAATACTGATGAGAGAATTTAACAAGCCGAGCTGTCTGTATTTCACCTTCAAACAGCTTCAATATTCTGTGAAGAACAGGTTAAGGTATACTGAGGTTGTACATTGTTAATGTGGAGTAGAATAAAATAAAACTGTTTGTTTGCAGTATAATACATTTAAGTATCTCTTTGTCTGAGAGAAGTGCCATTTATTGTTTGTCTGAATATGTGAAGTAAAGCTTGAGAGGACACAGGGTGCATTAGCAGGTTTCTGTTTTGTAGGATGTCCGACGGGTGCCAGGAGTGGCTCCAACCATTGTCCGACCAGCGAGCGAGACGAACGAGAAGCGCCCCTTCATGTGTGCCTACCCCGGCTGCAACAAGAGATACTTCAAGTTGTCCCACTTGCAGATGCACAGCAGAAAGCACACTGGTAAGTGTCAGCTTGGATGGGTATAAATCACCTTACAGCTCTGGACAGCAAAGTGGGTAGAGTGATTTTAAAATAGCATAAGGTGCAAGAAATGATCTGCCGGGTCAGGGGCAGCGAGAATCTGTCAGATGAGTCTGTATGTGCTCCGTCATCTGGGCAATCTCTTTTGGATGCAGAAGACTGAATCTAGTGAAGAAAAACACAGAGCAGATCTGACAGCAAGTAGATCACCTCCCTCCTGCTCTTACTGTTACAGGGCATCATTCAGGGCTGTGAATTGTCTTCCTCCCCACCCCAATTTGGGAGCATCAAAGCTTGCTCCAAATATTAACTGCTCAGTCAATCTAAGTTACATCTCAAAATGTGGAAATCCAATGCCCTGCTTCACCTTGTCAAAGAGTAAACAGAATTATTTCCCCTATTGGGAGATTTATAGAATTGGTAATAAGTAATTATGATATACCTTTAGGTGTGCTCCTTATCCATTTTTTGGATTGCCTATGATATTTTAATTTAGACAGTTCTTTCTGTGCTAAGCCAGAAATCTGTGGATAAAATCTGTATGAAATGGATTCTCAGTTAACCATTAATACGATGGAAGGTGAAGGGGATGAAACAGACAGCAGGAAGGCAATCCATACATCTGACCTAGCAGACCGCCTTACATTTCATAGGAAATAGTTGCAAACTTTGCTTTGGAGACCATGTAGTGACACTAGTTAAGTGCATAAAGTACTTACAGGTGAGAAATGAGCAGTATAAAGAATTTTTAATTTCTGAATGGGTGAGTCACAAAATGTCCAGACAGACGTCTTTAGTCTTGCTCATATTATGCATTTAAGTTAATTTAGACTGTAACTGGAATATAGTCGTTAGAGCTGAAGGTCCATACAAATGCTATTCTATTTTATGTTAACAAATTTGAAACAGAGAAAGTTTGGAGATCTTTTGGGGTCCATTAACTATGGTAATTTTCTTGAGTAAGCCTTCTGAATTTTTCTTATAATTACTATTTCTTTCATTCCTGAAGTGATTTACTCTCTATTTTAACAGTCCTAATTTGTTTGTTCTAGTCCTGTATTTTATTCCATTTAGTTGCTTGGCTTTCACTATATTATTTCTGGATGCATCACAAGGACTTCAGCTTACATCTTTTTAGTTTTCTGTAACTGGAGATTTCCAGCATTCTACCGCATAAAACCTAGGCATGTAGAGCCACAAAGACAAAGAGGACAGGTCTATGGCCATCAAGCATCCCTAGAGAGACTTCTCATTGTCTTTGAGGTCATGCATGTCTCTTCCTTCTCCTTTGGTTTACATGATAGTGGAAGGGGGTAGAAGAGAAATGTTGGTTCCCTCACATTCCATCCCAACCCTTTACAGGTAGGCCCAGATTTTCTGCCTCTACATTTTGATATGTTGACAACAAAACTTGGATTTATTTCTCAAACAGAGAAGAAAACTGCAAATGGATTTGCACCACAGTTTTCTTTGCAATCTCATATCTTTCTCTAGCTAACCCTGATTTGTGTGTCCTGCCTGTGGAAGAGCCAATTGTCAAAAGCAAAATTTAGAAACAGGCTTTCTTCAAGGGCAGATTAATCATTGCTATGAAGAATGTGTGTGTCTTGTTGATAACAGCTACAGTAGCTACAGTTCACTATTCTCTGCATTTTCTTTCTTTTCTCCACCTGCTTGGGTTTATATGTTAGAACTGTCAGATGTCAGCTCCAGCGGAGGATGATTTGGTTGTGTTTGGTAAACCTCTCTACAGCCAACATTAAGATTTTATTAGTCCTCCTGTTAGGTGGTTCTGGATTCTGTCATGCATTTGATGCTCTTCCGCCTTTCTTAATATAGTGGTAGGTATTTTTTAAAAAAAATATGAGCATGTGATTTGAAAACCAATTGTTACATATGTCTAATATTAAGCCAGCAGATAGTATCTTTGCAGAATGGTGTTGGGTCTTCATTGTCTTTTTTTGTTTCCATAATAGATACTGAACAGAGAACTAGCTCATCAGATCTTCCATTCTTCACCAGTTATAGTATTGCAATGTCAAGCAGGGCCCTGAAACACAAAATTTGATTCTGTAATCAGTTTTTCCCAATGTTTCAACACAGACTGAGTTGAAAATATGTAGACTTTTTGTACCCTCCAAGACTGCTTATCCATCGTTAACAATGCCTTCATTGAAACATGTACAGCCAAAAAAAGCTTTTTTTTCCTATCTGGGTGCATGTTGCTGCAGCAGATAGGCCTCTGAAAGGAAATGCAAAAATACATAGAACTTTTAAACAGTACAACAATTAATGTGAGTTTTCATCCTGTGGCAGACTGCAGAGACTTCTTTGCAGAAACAAATTGGTGTCTAGACCTCCCTAAATTTCATTTATGGTGGAAACATCAGCATTATTGCTTGAGACCCTTTGGGTTTGGTGCCACACACTGGAAAAAACTGTATTTATCCTAACAGAAAGCTTAGCATCTTTGCAGAGAAAATATCCTCTGCCTTTTTGCCAGGGATTCTTCAGCCTAAATATGTCAAATTGCAGGTATGAGTTTGTACAATGAAGTACGAGAATCTGTAAATCAGGAAGGTTGTCCAGTATATGGTAGGGAACTCATCTCTTGGTGGTGAATTTCTGAGTCTTTAGGAGGTTTTAGCAATGCAGTGTAATTATGACTTATACTAATCATCTAATCACGATTTCTTTGCTTTGACAAAAGCAAATATCCTTTTACTATGGCATGTGCCACCGTGCTGCTAAATGCCTTACAGTCATTAGTGCAATTCATCATTCATTCATCATTGAAAGACAGAGCTGTATCCTCTGATGGGCTGGTGCATGAGTGTGACTGCCTGAGCTGGGAATTGCCCAGGCTCTCCTCCTGAGAGTCCGCAGCGGCAGCGCTAGGATCGTGCTCTTTCACACTAATGCTGCTTTGAGATACTGACCTTCACAGGTAAGCCAGGGAACACCCTTCTGCCAAATCCCCTGGAAGCTGGAAGCTCGCAGGGGTTCAAGAAACAGCCAGGCAAATTAATGGAAAGAAACTCCATTAAGGAGTGTGAAATAGAAACCAACTTCGGCTCAGAAAGCTGCTAACTCGTGAACCGCTGGATACTCGGGGAGGGGCCAGGGAAAGTATTCTGTATCTCTGCTGTCTTCTGCTCTCTGCAGGCATCTCCAGTGAGCCATGGTGGGAAGCTGCTGGCCTTCACGGATCTTTGGCCTCAGACAGCATGGGCTGCTCTTAGGCTTTCATTTCTATGGCATAAAATAAGAATACTTACATATTTAAAATACAAGATCTGTTTCAGAACAGTCGTGGCATCTCACATCTGAATTCTGGTGTGAAGATGTCAGGAACCCTTACCTATAAAGGCTTTGTACTAAATAAAGAAACTTATGTTTTGTCTAAGTTTACTAAAGCACACCTAATTAATTATTTGTATTGAATAGGCACTAGCTGATGTGAAATATGTAGAACAAAAGGGAAATTAGGATTTTTATCCAAATATTCTGCCCCTTTTTTTTTTGCTTTTTGTTTTGTATGCAGTGTCATCATATCCCTGTGTAAGCATCTTGGATTGATTCCTTTAATATATGCATTGGTTAAATTTGTCTTTAATTTAATAAAGATTATATTTCAAAGTATTCAAAGAAATACTCCCGTGTGCACACCATTGGACCCTTACTGTTTTATTCAAATCCTTCCTTAACCATCTTCTGCATTTATATTGCAATTAGCAGACAATCATCCTGTCACTGCATTCTGCTCTGCTGACATCCCCCCTCTTAAATCTGCCAAAGGGCTGAATTCCTTGGAAGTAAGTGGTTTCTGACAAGCAGGCACTCCCCAGGGAGTCCTGGCGGTCAAAGTGTACGGGACTATTTCAAACACCTGTGGCAACCTTAATCCCTTATGCTAATAAATTAAGCACAGCAGACATGGAAATTGTCCACACCTCGGTTTGAGAATCAGTAAACTCCTTTGGGTGACAAGCACAGGAAGTTGACTTGTTCCTGCAGATTTAGTTGTTTTTATGAAATTTTGATCTTAGCTACACTGGTATGAATTTGGAATGCTTTTCTTAGTATGCTACTTATACGCTGTCACCTAGTTCAGGAGGCTTCTGCTTTACAATAGTTTGCACTGATATCTCAGAATACCAGTGCAACCAGAATGCATTTCCTCATCCTAATAAAATCAGAAATGGAGACACTTGCAATGAAGGTTTATCAATATGGTTTTCAGATAAATACAAACCAAGAGACTTCAGTTCTTTTCCAGCAGAAAACAATAAAAAAAAAGCATCTTGAAATGTTTTTGTTGCTTTAACTTAATGAGCTGTTGTTTTAGAATGATCAGATTCAATATTGTTTTCAGTGCAATAGAATGATGTTTCCCCACTGATTCCAACACAGTTGTATGGTTTTACAGCAAATGGGTCCTGGTGTACCTACCAGCAGACTGCTTCACACAGGAGAGAAATCTTAAGTCTTTTAGGGTAACATGTTTTGTCTTCTCATTGTAGGTGATGTGTTCCCTCATTTAGCCACATTTTCTGATAAACTGTTTGTCCTTTACAGGTGAAAAACCCTATCAGTGTGATTTTAAGGACTGTGAACGAAGATTTTCTCGTTCAGACCAACTCAAACGGCACCAAAGACGACACACAGGTTAGTTAACGGCACAACTCTACTGGTCACCCACTGTTCATCTTCATATGCAAATCACCCTCTGAATGGTATACTTGTAAGCTTCTGTTTTTCTGATCTTGTTTCTACTCAGACACAATACCCACAGTGCCAAATTCCTGAAGTTACCTTTAGGAAGAAACTGTAGCTGGGTTTTTTTGTTGACATTTGAGCACTACTATGGTTGCACAGGTGACCCTTTCATCCTGCTGCCATCCTTTGGAAACACCCTTCTTAATGAAACGGTTCTCTCTGTACTGTATCCCCTATATGGAGAAGATATTTTGAAAACCCAAACATTTCTGCAAGAAAAGGTTGCCAATGATTAACCTGATGAATGCTACTGTTGTTATTCTGATGTTCATGTGGGAGTGCCAGTGGGGGAACGCTGCATGTGCGTGTCCTGATGGGCTGGTGGGATTGCTGTGCACTTCCAGCTGGAAAGCAGAAACGGAGAAGCAAAAGCCACACCAGCTGTTATGCTTAGGACTGTAATTCAGCAAACCACTTAAGCTTAGATTTGAGCCTTTCTTGAATTCTGTCAACTAAAAAAGGATTCTAAGAACAGCAAGGAGATAACTGTCAAAGATCTGGCTGGTTGGATTGTACAAAAAACCTGGAAAGTGTACAGTAGTTCACACAGAGTGGAGAGGGCAGCAGTCAAGAATGGGGCTGGGTCTTACCTAGGCTTGTGTGTTTTTCTCAGTGAATTATTTACTGGATGAAATGTTCTCAGACAGCCAAAACTACTTGTGAGTTCAGTCCAAATTCAGCAAGTTGTTCTCTTGCACATACACCATTTTCTGGAAATGTCAAGACAGCCCATTTCAGCATTTCAGGAGTTCTTGGAGATCTAGATTGATTAGATGGACAGGGAAGACAGCTGCCCTTCTCAAAGTCACAGAAGAGGAGATGGTGATGACTTCAGACTCTTGGCTGGGAGTGGAACCATGAGGGCACTAGGCATGGAGCATGAGAAAGGGCTTCAGAGTGCTCCTCTGGCTGAGGAACAAGAAGAAATTGCATTTGGGTCTCCTATATCACAGAGTGGCCTGACAATTGTTTAACACACTATTCTGTGGTGGATTTCTGCCTGCTACTTCTCTGAGAGATGTAGGAAGTCTGTCTGAAAGCTGGTGGGATGATTTAGTTTTAGCAACTGCATGCTAGAACCTCTCGGTGTTAAAGCAGTCCCCAAGACTTATATGTAGTATGTAAAGTAAGTGGTAGAAGTGTAAATTAAGTTAAGCCTATTTGGGGTATATAAAAATAGACCTCTGCACCTCTCTTCTTCTTATATCATATTTGCTCCTGCATGATGATGATAGGGCCAAGCTACAGGGTCAGAATTAATGGCCTTTGCAGATCCTCCTTAGCCCAACAGTGTAAAGTGGGTGTTTGTTTACGATGGTGCTGTTTGGATGCTTCAGACCCACCCACAAGAAGAGCAGGTTCCCAAGGGGTGGTAGCCTGATTAGTGACTTTCTGTGACGTGTAGGCATGAAGCTGGAAGCAGCAGTTACAGTAACTAGTACAAAATAATTCAGAAATTTGAAAATTCAGAAGTAGCTGATTTTATTCACCCTTCCAAAAGGTTCCGGGATATAGGAATTGATTTTTTTTTTTTTTATTTTTTTGTCTTTTCAGGTGTGAAGCCCTTCCAGTGTAAAACCTGTCAGCGAAAGTTCTCTAGATCTGATCATCTGAAGACTCATACCAGGACTCATACAGGTAAAACAAGTGCGTAAACTTTTCTTCACATTTATATTTCATTATTTTTTAAGTTTAAAAAAAATGTTGTTGTAAATTACATGATTAGAAAGTCTCTTAATCAGGACTTAAATATTCAAAGCAACAGAAAGAATTTCAGGGTGTGCTGATTTTTCAGTGGGACTACATTCCCCGAGCATCATAGTCACTTTTCACAAAGGGATTTAGGTGATTTTAGAAACTGCACTTTCTTTTTTCATGTTTAAAGAAATGTCAGCTTGGTAAAATGAATTTTGTCAGCTATTGTGAAATGAGCATCATGGTCTCAGCCCACAAATGTCAAGTTGATCTACTGCCTTTACCGAAAAAACCCTGCAAGATAGAAATTTTAATTCTAGCTTCAGCCAAAGGTCTGTAATCTAAAGTACTCATGCCTACTCATGCTCTCCCAAGTGTCAGCTGAGCCGAATGCAGGATAGCACGGCAAAGCTCTTGCTGGTGCTGCTTGCACTGTAATCTCTCCAGAAGATAAAAGGAGTGTTTTTTGCAAACTCACACTGACAGACACTAAAGTAAAAGCTTACTCAAATATTCAAGGACCCTTTTGTAGAAACCATAATATTTCACATAAATACAGGGAAAGAAATAGGAGGCCATTTTAGTCTACTCTGTCCTCACGTAAATGTAAACACCACTAAGAAGCAACTGCAGCAACCTCTATATTTTAAGTTTTAGAATTATTACTATGAACTGACATTTGCTGTTTCCTTCCACTGTGTATGCAGTATTTTTACCCAGTAAATGTTCACTGAGCACTTTGACGTGTTGTTAGATGTCACAGTGTTTGCTATACTGGTGTTAAACTTTTAAATTCAGTCTCTGCACAGATGGGGAAGGAGCCTGAAAATCTTTTTCTTTCTGCTAAGGATTCTTTTTTCTCTTCTGGACCATAAAAACATAAATATTCAAGACTTTCAAAATAAAAAAAAGAAGTTTTAATAAAGGAAATTATTCACCTGAGAACAATGACATTTTCTGTGGTACTGACCAAATAAATGCTTCAAGTAAGGGCCACATCTGCACTTGCAGTCTACAAATGGTAAAGGGCACAGCTGTGTTCTGGGTTCTCCTCACAGTCTCATTATGAGTTGCAGGCCCTGGGTCTGTGTGTATTTGCATGAAGAAAGATATTTTCTTGATCAGCAAGAGGCAAATTTCTGGCAGAGACAAAATGGCAAGCAGTTGTCACATGCTAGCAGGCCAGGATAAACTATATTCCCCATCACATTTAATTGCTAGTTGATTTGTCAGTTCAAGACTTTCATGACGCCAGTATTTTTTGGCAGGTTAACTAAATCAGCGAAGATCTTGCTTTCTTTTTGCTAGTGGAGCTCATCTCCCTGTTCTGGTTCTTTCTTGCCCTGTGTGGGCCAAGCCCGCGCTGCCCTCGCTGCTGAGAGCAGCCTCACTGGGGCACTGGTACTGCCAGAGCACAGAGCTGTGCCTGGGCTCACTGCCTGCCGCGGGCTCGGGCTCCGTGCCAGCCCTGCAGCCCAGCTCTCTGCTGCTCTGCTGGGGCTCCTGTCATGCTCCTGTGACTGTAAAATGCACATATCCTGAAGGGAATGAGCATGAGTGGTGGGTGGGGATTTTTCATCTCCATTTTGCTATGTAGCTTCATTCCTCTTTCTTATATTCCCTAAATTTTGCAACAAAACACCTAACTCATGTCAGCTTGCTCCACGTTAAACCTTGATGAAGCAAAACAGAAGCCACTTCCATCTAATTCCATCGTAATTTTAATCAACTGACAAACTATTTGTTAAGCTGCAATTTCAGTTTTTTGTCTCCATAAGCAATTTTACTGACAGCAATCTTCGCTGCGGAAAATAATGAAAAAAAAGGGTCAAAGGAAACCCCCATGCATCTATATACATTTTTAGCAAGGGAAAAGCGATTACTGATCTGTGTACGGTGAAGTGGTACAAAGTAATTTGTGCCCAGCATGGAACTAACAGAGATTGCTGCTTGTGTTGCAGAGGAGAACCAGGATTGCTTGTGAAACAGCAAAACCGTGCTGCTTTTACTGTGTAGTTCAGTGAAAAACTGGCCAGTAACAGATAACTCGCATCAGCTCGCAGGATGGTTTTGCTAATGCTGCTGAGATGAAAGACCACTTTATGCAATCTGTGATTTTTATCAGTAGCTCTGACCAGGTCAGTTTTGTCCCATACTGTTTTATGCACTCAGGTGAGATAGTTGATGCTTTTACCAACATCAACTGTGGGTAAAGTAGATTGTAAACATCCCCACCCTCCTTTAAATATATTGCACAGGATTTTGAAAACAGAAATACACATTTATGCCAATCCCAGATCTTCTTTTGCCTGAATTTGGATGTTTGTGAAATGCACGAAGTGTGAGGCAAAGAAGAGGAGAAGATGTCTGGGTAAGCTCGTACCACCCTAGTGTGTCTTGAGTTGGATAGTACAAGGTGTGTAGACAGCACTGAAGATCCCAGCCTCAGAGCTGAACCTACTTTAAAATATTGCATAATTTTTTTTTTGTAAAAAAAGGAAAATGAAGTTCCAAAATAAACATGAGTCATCGGGTACTGCTCTGAGCTAATGAAAGCACATTCCATC